TTGTTGAGGGGCTTCCCTACATGACCTATGTCATAGAGCTCGGAAGCTGGCATCGAAATAGTCACCTCATGTTTTTTGCTGCCAATTCTCAGGAAAATTGCTGGCTAGATGTGGCTCAAGAAAAGGAATAGAACTACCAACCTTCACTGGTCCATTTCACATAAACAGAACCTGGCAATCTTCACTCTCGAGCCTTACAATCGCGGGCCTTTACAGCCAAGAAAGGGCCACGGTGTTCAGCAAAGTCCAACGTAGCCTTTTTGACGTGCCGCGTACTTTTCTTGAATGGACAAAACTGAGACAAATGTTTCAAGTGGGCCTATTCCCGGCCTTTTCAGCTTCCCAAAGCTTCAGTCTAGTGCAAGACTTGATTCTCGTTTAGTTTCATGAAGCAGAGTAGGCTTTGATCTATCCGCAGGCCATCGTATACCTGCACCTTTTCCGATCTGCTTTCATGGTGCCCAGGGCATCCCCCAATCCCGCGGTTTTCCTGAACCGTCCGGGACGCCGGCCTTCAGCGGACTTTTGAAATACATCACCTCAGCAGAAGCTGAGCGTCAGATCGACAGAGGCACGTCATGGGTGCGGAACGGCCGAGAAGACAGCGGGCGAGAAGACAGCGCACCGCGGATCGGGATCAGGGCATTGAAAGGAGGTTTTTTGAGCAAAGACTTGGTTGATGTGGTGATTCTGCAAAATCACCCAACATCTCACGTGGCTCTTTCATGCCAATCCACATTCAGGTGAAGCGAACTGGTCCAATAAGTGGTCATCGTTCTATCTCTTCCTGCGGTTCTTCTTCACATCGAAATTTCTCCGTTTCTCCAGTTTCATCCGCCTGGTCATCCGGTGACCGGCCACCTCCGAGATCCGTAACTCAGGTGAAGTCTCCAGCGTTCCAGGTACTTCACATGGACCCCCCCAAACATCCCAAAACCGCTTGGTAGTCCGAAAAAACGGTCTACACATGTCAAAACACCCACGGGTGGTCCTTCTCAGGAACCATGATGGTCCATGTTGGTCAGGAGACCGATCCGGTGAACTTCGACCCTCATCAAGCCGTCAGACCAGCCAGGGGCTGTCAGAGAGAGCGATGGGGCAAAGAGCCAGGGCTGTCGAAGCTCTTCGTTCTTAAACACCCACATCTTGGCTTTGCTGTCCAGCTTGGAAACAAATAGATTAAAACATATTAAAACTGTTTCCCTGAAGGGGATTCTCCCATAATTAGGCAAAAATGAATCATCACCAACCAGCCAAACCAGGACATCCAGCAGATGATCCGACCTTTTCTCTCTTTCATGCAGGACCTCGAGGGTCACACTGGCACTCAAGGTGGCCTCGCGTGACGGGCGAGCGTTACGTGGTCTCCAGTGGGGATTGGCGAAGAGTGGTCTCCTGTGTCAGTCGTTTCAAGGTACACAGGCTGCCTGGTCGCCAATGTGACATGGAAAAAAAAGGTTCTCATACACTCCCTGTTTCGCATCATAGAAGTGGAGAATGGTCCATAAAAGCCTCCAAACTGGTTTACTCACCGGTGGTTGTCCACTTCCATGGTGATTCCGAGTGTACTTGTCCACTGCTCGTCGCTTTGACCAAACATGCGCTGTCGTCTTTGTATCATGTTGGAGGAATCGTCTTCCGCGTCCCAAGAGCGCTGTGGAAGAAACGATGACCCTGACAAGCCAGCTTTTAGGAATCTAGCTATCATATGGTACCATATAAGAACATACATATACATATTCAATACATATACAAAGAACATACATATACAATACATCAACTCCAACTTAACTGAGCAAATCGATCCGAGTCGGGGCACCGAATCACCAGCTTTTCTCCATCAGCAAGTTCGCTGTTCTCGAACGTCCATCTCTGACACCCAAAACCAGTGGTGTGTCCGATTCTGACGTGCCCACCATGCGTCAAAGAGACCAGTGTCAAGACTTCGAACGATTCACAAACACAGAGTATTCGCTGGTGGGAGCACCAATTATGGGGCCACAGGCATGAGGGACCCAAATCGTGAGAACCAAACCCTCCCACGGGTCAGAATCATCGTGAATCATCGTTGCCCCATGCGTTCCACATTGATACTTCTGGGATCCTCTGGGTGTGAGCACACAATGTGAAGGGGTCAACCAGGGCGAACAAACATGTAAACTTCACGCGCAAGCAAGAATGATGAGCGTCCGAATCAACAAAATGCAAACAAGCAGAAAAAAAACTCACCCACTGAAATCGGCATCTTTGTATCTCTATTGTGTGATGAGAACCTTTATTGTGAAGCTGACAATGCTGCGTAGCTGTGAAAATCCAAAAAAACAACGCAAGCAAGCATTTCTTAATCCTAATGAGTAACATTCCGCCAACACAAAGGACATTCAAACAGTCATTCATTGCCACCAGTAGGCCAACACCCTAAAATCCTGACAGACCAAACACTTGAGGCCGACGCATCGCCAGAGCCACGCGATTCGTCATACATTCACCTCGAGTCTTCTTCGAGCCTGAGAGACCTCAGCCTGTTGGACCACCAACAGCCCAAACGGTCTTTTCCGATCAAAACAGGTCAAAAGGTTTCAAACGGGCTCTAGATTTTACTATGCTCTGCTTATTGAATGGTCTCCCCGCCTCGGCTTCATTCAGGCGCCGCTTTTTCATGCCTGAAGCTCAGGCCAAGCTCAGGCCCCATGGCCAAAGGGTGCGGTCGTTCCTTCAGTGGAACTGAAAAAAGAGATACTATGTTCGGATGAAATATATAGGATTTAGCGAACATACGTGGAAACTCACACATTCCCAAGTCATCTGTGTCCGGAGTTAATACAACTAAACCCTATGTCATCAGGCAAAAAAGAAAGAAAACAAACAGAAAATAATGCGAAACATCACCAGATTGCCTATGCAAACCAATACAAGGCTGCTCTTTAAACTGTGCCACAAGTCCTATCTTATCCGGCTCTACCTATCGTCACCGAACGGTTAGGTGCCAACACGTTTTTGATTTGACATAGGACTTACCCTACTATTTTCCTTTCAGCAACACCAACTGCAGAGGGTGAAAACTAACGTATCAAAAGTGAAAGCAATAAAGACGATAGAAAGAAAAAAACATTACGATAGGGAATCAATACGCCACAAAAAAAAAAAGAAATAAGAAGGAAAGTAAAGGAGAAAGGCCTGGAAGAACAAACCAAGTAAGAACAAGAACGTATATATATATATAACTATATATATATATACCATTCACAAAAAAGGCGAAAAGCAACGGAAAAGCAAGACGAGCACAGAAAAGCTGAAAAAAAACAGCCAGAAAAGCAGGAGCAACCACAGAAAAGCAATGAGAAGCAAGGAAATTCAAGAAAAGCAGAACAAGCAAGAAAAGCGGGAGCAACCACAGAAAAGCAGTGAGAAGAAAGGAAAAGCCCGAAAAGCAGTAAGAAGCAGATCCAAAAACAATTCGCAAAGCTAAACCAACGAAAATCACCCCAAAATAGCCCTCCGTGGCCAAAGCTCGACCGTCCAACCCCCCAACTGAGAGACCCCAAAAACATGAAAGACCTGGCATAAACGCTTGGCGACTCGGTTGATGGTGTTGACTTTAATGGCAGCAGTACATGTACAATTGTGCATGTTCAATACTGTTGGTCCGGTGTGTTCTTCAACTGCTGAAAATGATACAGAGTAGTCTTGGAGTGCTCGTGAGGAAGCCTGAAGGCATTCCAAAAAAGAAAGCCGTCCAAACCGGTTCTGGTTGACGCATCATGGATGATTGACCGGTTCCACGCTTTTCGGACCCATTTTGTCTGTATTGGTACTACTGTATATATTCTATTGTGAGTCGCCTGGGGCTTCAATGACCGCTCCAGCCCGGTTTCGTGACCGCTGAGCTGAAGATCCAATGCAGGCAGATCGATGTCAGAATCCAGTGGTTTGGAGCGGATGAGATGTATTTTTATCCCATGGACACTTGGTAAAACACTCTGTACATGCTTCACAGGGACCTGGATGCACCATGTGATGAATCACTTTAAACGTGGAAAACCAAAACGCAAAAGACTGTACCTTCCATCACCTCACCTGAATCGTCCTCTCCTGCGCTATATCCATCTCCACTGCTGCCACCTCCCATCCCGCCTGCTGCCAGCTCCTCGCATGGCAAGTTTGCTTGATTGGGCAATGTCAAGGTAGGATTGCTTATTATACTACCGGTTGGTGATTTCATATCACTTGAAGAATATAGGTGTGAGTGGGATCAATCATTTCCAGCAATGGTTGAACACAAAAATATATAACATCTGAAACCACCAACCAGTATAGTACTTCATCCCTAGGGGGTCCTTCCATGTTGATTTGACTGTAGATTTCGAGGCACAAAGACCGGCTCCTCATCGCTCAAGCGTGGTGTGATGGTCCGCCTGAGCTGGTGACAGCTGATTGTTCGACAAGGCTGGCTATGCAAACAACTGGCTAATCGAACCACTGGAAATTCTGGTGCCAGCTTCGTCCAGTCAAAACTCCACCACTCTTGGCACTCGTCCAGTCAAAATACCCGGCTTGAGCGGCAAAAAATAGCACTGAATCCCATCACTGAACCCTACCAATCCCGAATTCCATTCCTTGGTATGCAATATGTTGCCAACAGCCAAAGCACCCCTGGCTTGATCGGGCAATATGCCAGTGCCTGGTTGTGTCTGGATGTGTCTGGGGTGGCCAAAAATCAATGAGAACAGGAGCTACACCCTGCAAACTAACATGGCCCCAAAGAATATAATATGTGGAAGACCATTTTCCTCACCCAGTGGTTTCGGGGGTTCATGATCTGCAGCAGAGTACAGTTCTTCCAGTGTTCATATTCTGTCTTGGAGGACCAATTCGTTCTCTCGTGCTCAGGATTCTGCAAAAGCTGCACCAACCACGTGCTTGATTCCTAACGCACAGCCAGGTTCAGGCTGAGCACCAACGCGAATTGATTAGGTGCCAAATTGCTAAGTTAAATGGACATGGAAGGACGTCCGAACCATGAACTCCATCACTACACCGAGGTATATTTTTTGGTGATGAAATGTGATGAATTCAATTGGAGGAACCACGCCACCAAAGGGATGGATCGAAAGCTTTGCACCCGGGACAATGGGACACGAGATATTCACCGGGTGAAAGCATAAGAAAACATCGTCCAACTGTGTGAAAAACTCATTGAGCCCGGCGTCTCTTTGGCTTCATCCAGCAGCCTGCACTGGATGATTCAGGGCGATCAGCAACCACTTGATCCGCCACGAGCAAGTAACCGAAGCGGTTTGAAGATGGATTCGGAGACATCCACATAGAATCTGGTCTGGGAAGACCGATGATACAAAAGAGTGTGTATTTCAAGGATGTTCAACGATGTTTGGCACACTTTTCATGCAAGAGAGGTTGGCAAATCTGTCATCATGAAATCGGTGGCTTCATCGGCAAATTCCTTCCTTCACTTGAAGGGATTCTGCTTGGCTTGGGCGGTTCACTTCAATCGGCGGGTGTTTCTGGGAGTGTATGTGGTGCAAAGTGTTTTTATTAATGGTTCATCTTACATGTTGAACGAGCAAAGCCGGAGACATTATGTTGTTCAAAGTTCAGGAAAAGCGATAGGAAAGTGCTGTGCATGGCCCAATTGAATAATGGTTCAGTGCGGTGTCTTTCATGCAACCTGTTCCAGCAAGTCATCCGCGATGCGGAATTACAACATGTTCACCCAAATAGAATCAACGATAATTAACGATACAATACATGAGACATACATGAGACATCATAAACAATAAAACAGGAAGCGCTCAGTTGGAATGGTATAAGGACAAAGTCACAAGCGGCCGAGTTTGTTTGCCACACGCTTTATCAAGCAGATTCAAGCAGGACCGCAGGGACCACAGCAGTGTCCAAATGCTTGCAAAGAACCTCACCGCAAGCATACCACCATGCATGACATGAATGTCATGGTTTCTTCTGAACCACCATCGTTTTACTAAGGATCTTACACTACAAAAACCAGGATATTCGTCGACCGGACGGAACCTGAGTGATGGACCGAAGAGACCCGACGGACCGTGGCGACCGTGGCCCCGAATCGGGTTCCCGCTTGGAACCAACCGGATGGGGCCGATGCAAACCATGGGATCTTGTTCGTTCTCCTCGTATAATATACTACTAGCGATGGCCTCCAACCTACTGATTTTGAATGGATCATCCAAGATATTCCTGGCAGCAAAGGCGGGCTCGATCAAGCATGTTGCAGTTCAGTTCCGTGTGGCCTCTGTTTCACCGCACGATCGACGTACCGCACGAGCATCATCTTTCCTGATTGATGAAGTCTGGTTGCTGGCCTCTTTCATCATCTCTTCTCAGACACAGCATCATCTTTTGGATTCATTACATGCGTACTAGGCTTCCTGCGACCGAAGAACCCGCCCAGCAAGCGAACCATTCGTAGCACATTAGACCCGCCTGGTCAGAAAGCTTTCACAGTGTTTTTGCACATAGCCTCATCTGCGTGACGATCGTTTTGCCACGACCCACACGTTGGCCTGAAAATATTCTTGCAAAGTGGGTAGTCCCATTCATTTGATAAACCACTGGACAAGATTGGACAAGTATCATTATATGGTACTGGCATGTGGCACACCTTTAGTAGGATGTTGCCACATGGGGCAACAAACACCAGCTCCTGCTTCGCATGTTGCAGAAAGAAACATCACACACAAAGCTGAACGAACCCACCAGTAAGTACACTTGAACTTGCTTGCACATCGCAAGCAGTGGTGGTCCTGATCTTGTTTGTATCAGAATCATTGTCTTCGCGGGCAACAGCCTGATATCTACAACAAATACATATATATATAGTATATATAATTATATGAAAGATGATCAAATCAAGGACCAAAGCAAAAAGCATCTCGGAACTGGTGACATGTCCTCCATCTGTCACCTGTGTCCAGATCCTCTTTGTGATCGAGGGCCCTAGTGCACACGGATGAAAAGACCAACGGCCGCAGTGGGATCCCCTGACTCCCTCAGCTTCCGCGGAAAAGCTAGGTACCCTCCCTGAAATCATTCTGGAGGTGTAAGGCCACTTGTCCGTCTGGAGTATAAACCTTAAAAACATCCCTTTTCCACCTCTTCGTTTGGAGTGTGATTTCACCAATCCCCCAAATAAAAGGCTTGGGCAGGTTCTCCACTGTTCCTCAGTTCACTCCACGGTACCCAGGAGTAGGTAGATCACCCAGCACCGGAGATTCCACGTGTTTCAGCGCGAGCGCGGAACACGGTGGAACCCACCAGAAGTGCGGGAGGGGTCGGAGATGGTTGGCCGGACCTAGCGTAAACATGGAATCAAGAGCTTTTGGATGACTTTACTATATATATATATATATCCGATATCCATCTATATGCACCTATAAACCTACAGTCTACCTTGACTCTGCAAAGTCTCAGAACTGGAAAAGAATCCATCCAGGACCTGACTCGACCTGACTCCACTTGGTCTTCACCACTCGGAGACCTCACCGCAAGACGACCTCACCCAGTCGACAGGTCGACGCAGGTCGACACAGCCAGGTGGCGCAAGGTCTTTGCCCCTGAGACCTCACAGCCCCCGCGGCGTAAGTAGTGCTCCACGACATCCAGTGGGACCGACATGGCGCAGACGGGTCTGCGCCACCCGTTTTTTCCGCGGGTCCGCGCGGACGTGCGGAAGTGGATGTGGGTGAAATCAGGGGTAACAGTCCTTTTGAATGCGTGCAGGTTTTTTTTGTGGACATTGCCAAACATGTGTGACATGGCTGCAAGTCGAACTTAACATGGCTGATCTTGGCAGCACAGTCCCGATGTGAGTAGATGTCTAACAAACAACACAGTGGGCCTTACGGATGCTCAAGTACACCGATTTCAGCCTGTCAGGACACCTGATGAGTGGCTGGTCCAATGAGCGTGGATGATCAGTCAATAGATCACTAGGTGTTGGGTCTATCCTATTACCTGTAACAGTGGATGATGATGGTTAGTAAAGGCCTTGCTCAAAAATAGTGATTTGCTTGTTTACTGACTAACGGACAGACCCAAACTAGGTGAGTAGTCTCTTCAAATAACCGCAAGAGACGAAGTCACTTCGATGTCCGCATACCAGGCTAGTCGGCACTGACTGGGCCAAAGTGGCGGCTTTTCTGTGTGATCCAGGTGCCTCCTGTAGGAGCGCTGTCTTGGATGTGGAGATGTAGCGGAGGATTGTTCAACTTGCAACGGTTGATTTGTCGGTCCAGTCATTAGCCGGTCCATGACTCTTGGATCTTTTGGTCGTCTTTATGATGGTTGGTCGATTCACTGCGAACACTGTGTATTGTTGGTATCTGTATCCTTACATGTCCCCGCCTAACAAGTTACCTCTAACTTGTAAAACAACGACAAGTGCAATCAGTAGATATATATATATATAATAGAAAGTGTTTAAGGACATTAAATTAGTCTACAGTAAAAGATTTAAACAAAAAAATTACACCACCGTAGACCCCAAACAGTTTGTGTTTTTCAAAGTCGGAACACTCTGCACTAGAGCTTGCGATGTCCAGAGCTGGGAGACAAAGGATTGCAAGGCAGAGGCGGCCACAGCTGTCCAGAGCTGGGAGACAAGGAGGGCAAATGTAAAGGATTGCAAGCGACATGCAGCCCACAGCTGGGAGACAAATAAAGGATTGCAAGGCAGGGGAGACAAGACCGAGACAGTGACGAACAAGAAGGGAGACAAAAGGAGACAGAAAAGAGAAAAGGGAAACAGAAGGAAGACAAGGCGGACACAGTGACCAACAAGACTGGAGACAAGACCTGAGACAAAGGGAGGCGGACACGCTGTCCCGCAGCAAGGCGCACACCCTTAGAAAGCATTGAGAACCCCTACTGTAACAGTAACCTGTTTGGGAAGTAAAGAGATCACCTGGGAGACAAATGAATAGAAGTGCTCCAGGGCCAGCGGAAAAGGGTAAAGTAAAGAAGTCACGTGGAGACAAATGAATAGAAATGCTCCAGGGCCAGCGGAAAAGGGCGGACACCAGCAGTGCAGGCACCGAACCTGGGAGACAAAAGTAAAGAAATCACCTGGGAGACAAATGAATAGAAATGCTGCATGGCCAGCGGAAAAGGGTGGACACCAGCAGTGCAGGCACCGAACCTGGGAGACAAAAGTAAAGAAGTCACGTGGAGACAAATGAATAGAAATGCTCCAGGGCCAGCGGAAAAGGGCGGACACCAGCAGTGCAGGCACCGAACCTGGGAGACAAAAGTAAAGAAATCACCTGGGAGACAAATGAATAGAAATGCTGCATGGCCAGCGGAAAAGGGTGGACACCAGCAGTGCAGGCACCGAGCCTGGGAGACAAAAGTAAAGAAATCACCTGGGAGACAAATGAATAGAAATGCTGCATGGCCAGCGGAAAAGGGCGGACACCAGCAGTGCAGGCACGGAACCTGGGAGACAAAAGTAAAGAAGTCACGTGGAGACAAATGAATAGAAATGCTGTATGGCCAGCGGAAAAGGGCGGACACCAGCAGTGCAGGCACCGAACCTGGGAGACAAAAGTAAAGAAGTCACGTGGAGACAAATGAATAGAAATGCTCCAGGG